TCGTTTTTTGTTTGAATACAAAAAAATACGAAAATGCGCACTGGTACTAAATTTCGCGCAATACAAACGTGGTCACGTGCTTCGACTCCCTCTTCTGATTTCGCTCGCGCTTGCAGCGGTCACACGCGAGTCTCATGTGCTAACTCTGGTATCAAAATATTTCCGACCATCTTCGGAATTTATTATATGTGGGAACTATTCAGAAGAAGACCCTTAGACAACTACGATCGGATTATTGTTTATTCGCCAACCCGGGCCAACGACGAACTGTTTCAAAGAGAACAATTATTAGTGAGTACGTTCCATTTGACCTTTTTATTATTGTATACCCAATCTAGCGTTATTAGTTTTATTTCTTTCCCACACACTCTTGATTAAGTAGCCTATTGGGTAGCCGGACCAATACGAATTCCGTAAGTCCGACTCTTTCTAGATAACTTTTCATTGCAAGTCGTAATTTTATTTCTTTCGCCCGGTCTTTATGTAGGCACAATTTGATTCAACGGATTTAGTCGAGAACGCTATTAGCATATGTTTACCACACCATAATCCCCGCAATCCCAGGGTGTTTGTACCAGGTGGATGTCGTTTTCACTATCCGACGCATCACTTTCCAAGCCACCCGATTTTCCTGTGTCGTCCAGCATCTTCCCTGTGATGTAGCAAGAGAAGTAAAAGATCTTTTGGAAGAAATTCCCAAGAAAAATCCCCATGACGCCCTTCGTGTGGCCATCATCAGGAGGACAGGGAAGTACGCAGACAAAACGCTACGGGATTTATCCACCTCTGTCAAACTTGGTGACAGATCGCCATCACAACTGCTTCGCCACGTGCGCAGTCTTCTCTGTGGACGTAAGCTAGCGGTGGAAATCATGGCCCAGTCATGGCTCGACAAACTTCCACCCTCCATGTCACACGTCATCAGTGCTTTCTTTGATGACCACAGCTTGGAGCAGCTAGCCCAAATGGCCGATAAAATCCATGAACCCTATCCCAGTGACCTCGCAAAACCCGTCTCCCGCCGTGCGCCCACTACTTCTACAGATTGCGATCGGATTCTTGCTTCCATATCGCAACCACAAGCTAAGTTTTATACTTTGACCGAACGCGTACAACGGCTGGAGTTCAACAAGCATCGACCACGTTCACGTTCCCGACCGTTGTCTCGTGCCTGTCCTTCTTGGTGCTGATATCACCAAACTTTCGGTTCTCAAGCACGCAAATGTCAACTGCCCTGTTCCATCAATCCGCCCCCAGCACCCTTTTACACACCCCGGCCAGTCAGTAACGGCGACGACTGTGTGCGGCCCTTCTCGCACTAACTGCCTATTCCACCTCATCAATCGTTCAAGTGGTCCACGTTTCCTCGCAGATATGGGAGCTGGAGATAGCGTGCTACCACATAAGAATCCACTTCCCGATTCGGCTTATTATTCGTGACAAGCCGCTAACGGTACCCGCATCGCTACATACCGCAAACGGTCCCTCAACCCTGACCTCGGACTGCGACGTGCGTTCAAGTGGATCTTCCTTTTGACCGACGTCCAAACACATATCATTAGGGCCGACATCATGAATCACTACAAATTATCTACCGATGCTTGGTAAAACGCCCCTTGAACATGCTATCATTTCTCTCAGTCAACGGGATTGAAATATAGCGTTATAATGAAAGCAGAATAAAGGTACAAAACACCACAG